AGAGAGAAGCAAATGGAAAGTCAATTTGGACAGTGTTGGAAACAGAAGTGTTTAATAAAAGTAAAAATAAAGCTCCCTTCAATTATTTCGTCATCCAAAAAAAGTCTTACTTTGTACTTACATGATGATGAGGACTTTTGGAAGGTTTTAAAGCATTGATGTTTGGAGTTTTGCAGCATCTGTTTCCTTAATTGTCATTGATAAGCCTTGATATCTTACCTCTGCAATGTGAACAGGAAAAAAACTAATTTTCTTGTAAAATTATGAGTCTCTATGGTTTAAGTTTAAAACTGTAGGGTAGTATGGAGGAGTTGCACTGTTTATCAGCTTGATGTGGGAGCTGGCATGTTTTGATACAAGTCAACATTACTTTTACAATGTGAAGAAGCCAATAGTGTTCTAATAGTTTAATGAGTGCAAATGGTAACCATGCACTTCAGAGTGTTGATAGCTGTCTTGATAGTTCTCTTTCCACTCCATTTTTGGCAGTGGTATGACCACAACCTCCTCCTTCTCCTCCTCCCATTCTTTAATCGGGGGGTGGGAAAACAAAAATATTCTTTGCATGCTTGCCAGATAAAAAAAGTATTTTATTCAAAAACATAAAAAAAAAAACCATCGTTAGGAGCTCGACTCAAAAATACTTACTACATTTTCAAGTAGTTCAGAAGAGTGATATTTTTCAAAACTGGGTGTCCTTTGATTCAGGAAGTTTTACATACAGAATCACAGATCACAGACTGTTCAGGGTTGGAAGGGACCTCAAGGAACATGAATCTCCAACCCCCCTGCCACATGCAGGGCCACCAACCTCCCCATTTAATACTAGACCAGGCTGCCCAGGGCCCCATCCAGTCTGGCCTTGAACACCTCCAGGGATGGGGCAAACACAACCTCTCTGGGCAGCCTGTTCCAGTACCTCACCCCTCTCTCTGCAAAGAATTTACACATGTAAAGAATAGAGTGGGCTGTTTGTTTTGTTCTTGGTGTTATGTGACCCCTCTCTTGTTCCTTCCAGATGGAAAAATAGAGATCAATACTAATCAGAGTTAGCAAAGAAAGGGGAGAAAGAAGTGAAAAAAAGGGAAAGGCAATTACTGTTTTGCAGTGAAGTTGAACACTAAAGATTCTTTTTTTTTTTTTTTTTTTTTTTGCATTGGCATCTCTTCATCCCCTAAAATCTTAATGAACAAAACAAAGATTATAGTTGTAAGTGTTCATTTCATTTTCACAACTTGAAAGGGAAAATGCAGAAAGGCCTTCTGATTTCACAAGCTGGAGAATAGTAAATAAAGCACAAATACCTGTAAATCTCTGTAGATGTTTCTTTGGCTTGTTCTGTGTTGTGCTGTGAAGTAGAATTGCTTGTTTGGACTGCTGAGAACTTGATTACAAATGATTTTGCTGTTCCCTAAATATTTCAGTAGCAGTTCAAGTAGTTTATCACTGTCACTCAAGTAATAATCTAGTTCACTTTTTCGATGCCTTCATCAATTTCTGTTTTAACTTAAAATTTATGAGTATGTCTTATAGTTTTAAGGTGACATTGCAAAATTTCAATAATTCACTGTTTCATTGAGTAGTCAACATATTTGCTTTTTGCACCAAGTACTTCTCTCTGAGGCTTTACCTAGTTGCTTTATAAATTCCATAGGCTAGCATAATCCTTTATTCAGAAGAAGTAGAATTTAAATTAAGATATTTGCATACATTCGTTTCTGATTTGTTTTCATAATTGAATTGCAACTTCAGTTCAACTCTTCTGTTTCATAGGATGTGCATCGTAAATCCAGCCAGATTGGCTTGGACAGCATTGTTCCTTCCTTGAAATTTTCTGTCTTGCTCTCTTTCAAAATAAAGGTGCAAAGAGAAGGTTTTATATATCGACTTACTTTTCTCAGTTCCTATGAGATAATTCAGAAACCAAATTCAACTTTAAAGAAGAATGTTTTTCACAGTCATTTCCATTTTGAAAAATGAAATGTCTGAAAAGTTGAAGTAACTTCACTGCTAGATTGCTTAGGAGTCTGATAGTCTGATAGAAATCTATTTTGATGTGGCCCAAAATTATACCACTTAGCAATTGTTTTTTTCTTACTTAATAACACATATTTTTTTCTTACTCTTTAAAAAGTAAACAAACAAGACACACACACACACAAAACTCCTTAAAAATGTCCGTTTTCCTATCAAGAAATCTAACTAGTTTAGAGATTCTCAAATATGAAGACATTTTTCACTTCATCACTGGCTTACAGGGCGTGCAGTTTTAATTTTCTGTATATCCATTTATGTTGTGTAGATCTGTGTAACCATCTGCAGTTAATATACTGTTTTGTAGGTGTGTGAGAGGCGTGAATGTTACCTTAGTTGCCTTGCTAAGTTAGAGTATTATTTCTGAAAGACCTCTGACTATTTCTATCTCAAAGTTAGTGTAAAGGGAATGAGCAGCATGCAAAAAGTAAATGTTACGAAACTATTTCACCCACAGCTTGCTTTATCTTTTGTGCTGTATAGAATCTCCTATTGGGGGAAAAAAATGGATTTGTAGTTGATGAATAAATCGCACTGCATATGCCCGTTAGCTTCTTCTGAATATTAAATGTTTTGCAATACTAATCTAAGGTATATCTGATTTTGTATGAAAAGTATACTAAGTGGAATAAAAATTCATCCTAAATACTAGAATTTACTGATTTAGTTTCTTCTCTTTGCCTCAAGTATATTCATTTTTAATTTCTGAGCATATGCAGATGGAAAATACCCATGTGCTGAAATTTAGTTGGAGTCATAAAGTATGGTTCAAATATGTTTGTAGCTTCATATTCAGGTGCAATTTTATCTCTGTTTCTGAATGCATACAAAATGTTTCTACAATTTTATAGGAGAAATTGGACTTAAGGATTGATACAAACTTTTACAAGTTTAAACAAAGGTCTAGAGTACATTTCAGATGCAATAATGCAGGTTAAATATTGATATTAGCCTTGACACAAAATACTTTACAGACTGTAAAATAAGATATCATCTGAAAAAGTATATTAAATCAGTTAAATAATGGAACATACAGCATGTAATGAGGTATGGAGGAGAAACTATTGCACTTAATAGTGTTAAAAGGTTTTTTTCAACCTAGCAGCTGAAAAGATAAATTGAATCATTCTTCAGTACACCCTTGTATTTACAGAGCTTCACTGTTTTGGGAAACATGTAACTATTTAGCAAGAAGTAGTTACCAGTGGTCCAAATGATCGTTTACGTTAATGTTCTGTTATGGGAGATCATAGTGAAAGCAGAAGTAGCTATGGAGTAAATGGAATGTGCAACTGCGGGAGGCAGTCACTGAATGTACAAGAGCACCAGCATGCCTGTTTGAAGTTGAAAAATTCTTCTTTCTTATAGTCATTAATGTTTGCATGCTGGCCAGTAGTCATGTTAGGTGATGCTTCTGAAATGTTTTCTGCTCGTAAGAAAGAATAGCGGCAGCAATTGAAGATAAATTCAGAATCCAGCGATTACAGTGCAAAAATCGAGTTAATCGGAGAAAATTTTCAGCAGTTTTAGCAGTGCTAAATAAATTCGATTTTTTTTCTTGTTCTAAAATACCAGGCTAAAATAAAGTGACTCACAGAAATTATAGCTTCCGTACTCATGGAAATATTGTTGTTTCTTTTTCTTAGCAAAATATGTTGTGTGAATGATTTTTCTTTTGTGAAGCCTAAGAGGGTTCCATCATCTTTTCCTGCCAATGATTAATATATTCTGCTTAAAAGAAAATGCTATTTGCTATTGTTTTCATTCTTTTGGTAGGATCCTTCTGCAGCAAAACACAGCAGTTTGAAAGCAATGTACATCCTAAAGAAAAACATGTACCTGGTAATAATAAAAATAATCATCAACCTGCTATTAGAATTATGTTAAGCTACATTAAAAGTTTGTGTTACTGAGTTTTTATGTAAGTTCCTTTAAAAAAAGACGAGACTAACTGAAGAGGCAGAGCTTCACAGTAATTTGAGCTAATGTTCATGGTTCATACATCTGGAGGGAAGATATATATTATTTGGTAAAAAGGATAGGCATCATCTTTCCATTACTCCTGCTCATAAAAAAAGAAATTCTTGTGAAAGTAGAACAGTTTTATGAAACAACTTTCATGTATTATGAGCATAATGTGTTTTTTGTTCATGTATACATACAGTCTATAATTATAAGGCCATTTAGATTATCTTCCTGGAAAAACGTGGGTTGTATTTTATATAAAATATTAGTTCCAGTTTCTTTTGTAAGTATACTTTTCATGCCACTCAACAAACTGCAAAAGGAACACATGTGGAGCCTTAGTTTTTTTATTATTATTCTTATTTACCTCAAGTCCTTTATAGGTGGGACATAAGGACACATTATATAACACAATAAAATGTAAGGAAAGGAACCATGTGTTTTCCAAGTAGAAAGATGCATTTTAGTGACGTATGTAATGTGTTTATATCCATATGGCATACTTTTAATTCTGGTTATTTACCTTACTGTTCTTCCAATTCCTGTGTCATATGTCAATTTTGATACTTCCATGAGAAGCCTGTCTACTCTGGGCACAACTCTTGTGGTTTCAAGTAGATATGCTGAAAAAAGCTTGGACCATGAAGATGTGCATTTCTAGTTGTGCATTTAACTCTGAAGCTTTTTATGTAGAGGTTTTAGAAAAGAAAATGATCCTTTTCCTTTGCTACAGTTGTTTCTAAATCATGAAGATGTATTTTGACTTGAAAGTTTATTTTCCCCCCCAAAATCTGTATGTATGCAGAGTGTATGCAAATCACTGGTACATAAGGTAAGTTGCACGGTGCAGAACTGAGGGAAAAAACAAGCAACCTCCCCTCCCTTCAGGCATAGCTTCTTTGTGGGGCTTACCTCCCCTTGAAACTACCCCATGCTCAGATACTGTGTCATGTGTAATTGGATTGAAGCTCTTTCTGAATACTGCTTTTTTCTCTTGACAGCATGGGGTAACCTTGGAAATGTTCTCAAGAGCCAGAGTAAGATTTCTGAAGCTGAAAGCGCCTACAGAAATGCCTTGTACTATCGCAGCAACATGGCTGATATGCTCTATAATTTGTAAGTATGTGTGGCTTTCCTGGGGTTGGACCTGTTGTGAATGTAGCTATTGATTTCCCTGCTGGCAATGGAGATGATTCTAGCTGTTACTTTGTACTGATCATTTCATTAATAGTGCTCCTTAAGCTTTGAGAACAGGATCTGTCCTTGGTCAATATTTCTATATGTTCTTTTATCATTATTCTGACTTTAGAACAGGCAAACTTACAAATCTGATTGCTTAAAAAGAAACAAAATTCCCACACTGAACAAAATGCAGATAGATGAGCTTGGCACCGGTACTGCTCCATATGTTTCTGACTCTGCTAAAATACAGAGGTGTTACTTAGACTTAAAAAGGAAGTCTAAATAACAGTGGGTGGGAGGAGTGGGTGTAAGCACTTCCTAGCATAAGTCCATATCTCTCAGTTAGCTCCTGAACTGTTAAAATAACTAAATACTTTCTGGAGCAGCGGAATGCATCCTGCTCCCAGCTCTCTCCTGCATTTGGGCACCCAACAGCCCGGACCCTCAGAGTGGGGCTCTGCTGTGATATGGACCCTTTCATGCAGGACGTGTCATGGAGAGCAGAGTTCAGATTAGGGCCATTCAGTATACAGTTGTGTAAGCTGTTTAGAAACAAAATGCCAAAAGCATGTGCTGTAGTACAAGTTGTACAAAACAATAAATGCAAATACTAAACTTCATTGTTAAAATAAACAAATAAATAACTGGACTTTTTTACCAAGGAATCAATTGCCCGTTTCATTAGTTTGCCTTACAGGAAAACATGGGAGACGTTTCTCTGCTTTTTCAGTAAAATTTAGTGGTACAATGCCTATTCCCAAGTTATTAGAGTATCTCAAAATTTGTGTATTTTTATTAATCATACATTTAACACGTATGTGCGTGCACAACAATTTTTGCCTCTATTAGGCAATGTCTGTGAAAATCATATTTTTGAGAACAAACTCTTTTCACTTGTGTTTAAAGAAATAATTTTTGAATGCAGCAGGAGATTGTAGGGAAAAAAAAAAAGTGAAAAGATTGATATTCTTGAATTTCTTATACACAGTTGGTTTGGGGGATGAAAATTATAACTATTAAATTTTTTTTATATGCCCATACAGAAATACCAGAGTAATAAGAAGGAGGGTTGGGCCATAAAGACAGGGGATATAAAAGAAATCAAACTTCAGTAGTTTGCTGTTCTGAGCACAAGCCGTAATGTTCTGGCTTTACACTGATTTACAAAATGTATGCCTACAAGCCTTCATTTGTGATAAATAGAAAACCTTTTGAAATTCCACTGAGCTTGTGAAAGGAATTTATCTACAATTGTTGGAATATGCAGGGCATATAGTATCTACATGTACCCCTGAAAATAAAGAAAGTGTTTGCTATATGATGTGTTTATACATTTACATATGCAAAAAAGAATATCTAATTCTTAATCTAACAGTATCCTGAATGCAATAAAATCCTCTTTCTTTTTTTTCTTTTTTTTTTCTTTTTTCCTAAGTTTCACAAAAGCATGGGCTACAGAAACTGAAAAATCTTTCATCATTATTTTCAATCATTTAATACAGTCTTGGGTTGTTTTGTTTTTTTTTTTTTTTTTTTTTTTTTTTTTTCTGTTTTTTTGCTACTTTCATATCCAGTATGGAAACTAAGTGGTAAATGGAATAGGCTTTGGTGCAGTAAGACACCAATCTACTCCAGTATTTTAAGGGCAAACTCTGAAGAGCTTCCTTGCAAATTCAGCCCTTTCTTGGCATGCAGTTATATGGGAGCCTTTACAAAAATACTGTAATTGAAAAATACATCTTGTGTGTGATTACAGGAGGACAGTTAGATTTACTGTTTCTGGGTTTTAGTATGTGGCTTTAAAACTAAAGCAGTAATTTCGTAGATTTTTAGAAAGAAAGCACCCTTACAGTGGTTTCTGATTTGTGTGGTTTTGGCATAATGGATCCTAAGTCTATTTAAGCTTCACATATTCTTTGTTTTTTTCTTTGCATTTATGCCCCAGTATTTGATACAAGATAATAAGCACTTGCAGCAGTATTCGAACACAGCAGTAGCAAATCAAAGTGCTGTCCGATCAAGGAAGAAATTATTAAGGATTAACTCACAATTTTCAATGGGTAATGATCAAAGACAAACTACGTAAACAGAAGCATTTGATGATCTCAATTCTGTTTTTCAAGACACCATTTTGTGCTAAAATGTGCTGTTGGCTTAGCAATTGTCTATTGATTGTTAAAGCCTAGTGAGTTTAGCAGGATGAAGAAATGGCTGATTTCAGTAATACATTTTTATTTTCTGACTGTTATACCTTTGCAGCATTACAGCAGCACTGAGTTGCAGCTTCTTTTGCCATTCAGGACAATTTAAGTTGCATGAATTTAGATTACACAATTACATAATCTCCCTTTGAATGCTTGCCTGATTCAGAATGTGTCATTTGCCACTTTGTTCAAATGTGGCAATTATGTAACCATAAATAAATTCCTGCATTTTTAGAGAGCAGCAGACATATAGTAAAGACCATATAATAAGATACTTAGTATGGAGAAGGAGAATAAAAATAGCACAAGGCATCAGCCACATATATTGTAGAGAAGCGCTGGATTTGGAAGATGAACAGATTTTGACAAACTGTAATTCCCTAGAAAAATCTGTTTTCTCATGGCTTTCCCTCTCTCCCACAGACACTCAGGAAACTAAGTTCCAAGTTGATCTGCATCTTTAATTAAGAAATTATTTTTAATTTTGTTTTAATGATAGTGAAAAAAGAAAAGGTCTTGCTAACAGTAATACTAAGTTGGTGGTTCATCGCTCATTTAGATGTGAGTTAAAGTAGGTTCGTTGTGCTGACATTTCTCAAGTCCGAATATGTAAAAGTGAAACTACCTGGTAAACAGCCTATCTTGAGGATAAGATCTTTGGCCTGGAATTTTAGCAATCTGCGTTCAGGCTAAGGCCTTGACTTCTTGTTTGGAAGCTTTTTTTTTTCTAAAAGCCTCATGAAAATCTCAAGAGGATCTTGGAGCTTGACATCTCTGAGAGCAGTTGAGATTTTCACAGTAATTTCAGTGCTGAAAGGATTTTGGCTCTGATTTTCTACTGTATGTGGAGATTGTATTAAAATGTGACTGTAATAAGGTAGTTTACACTTCAAGATACCTACCACGTGGCCTCCTGCTTGAGATAGCACTGCAAGTAATTTGACCAAATCTCAAAACCAAGTTCTAAAAATCTGTGTAGTATTACTGATTTCAGCTAGATTTCAGAAGGTGATAGATCAACATAAATGAAATCTCTTTCCATGTGTTTAAGAAATCCATGTATTTTATTACTGTGAAGTACCAAGGACAGAGCTATAGAAAAATATTTGCTTCTCCAAAGTAGGCAATGATCAGCAGATGAACAATAAACTAGTTTTTTTGTTTGTTTGTTTGTTTTTTATGGCTTGTTAACCTTTTTATGATTGTTACCTAAAACTCAGGGTTTCTTTTGCTTTTAAATTTCTTTTGTTTAAAATTACTTCCAATTGCTGCCTAAAGTAAAATTGTTTATCAGTTAAAAGACAGTTTATTGTTTATTATTTCATTTATATTTAGGCCAAGCTCTGCTTAGAGTATGCTTTTGTCATTATAGCAATGATCTATGCTACCTTGAGTTTCTCAGCAAGTTAAAGTAGATCTGCAATCTCACATAAATGTTTAATATGCCTTTGGAATGGTACTAGTTCATGTAAATGATGCATTTGGGGAGTGTACAATGCCCAATAAAGAATAAATGGACTAATCACCCTCAGTACCTTTATTTTCATTGCAGTGATAGTGCTTTGAGTCTACAAGTTTATTGTTCAGATAATTTATTTGAATATATTCAAAGTCTAATTTTCATAACTTTTTCTTTGGTAACTTCAGGGTACTATGTGAATAAATGTGGATTTGTTTATTTATTTTTGTTTAGAATTTTGTTAGCTAAAGTCTTCAGCGTAACTGACATTTTAATTCTGTGAAGTCTGAGGTTATATAAGTGTTTCATGCACAGTCTTTAGATTTGCATCCTTTGGTGAAATCTCTGGAAATCAATTTGAATTAAATTCTTTTTTCTTGTTCTTAGCCTACAAAACAGTTGAAATTGTGTTTTAGCTTCTTCCTTTTTAATGGTGCTGGCACGAAAATCTCCTTTGAGCTGTAAAAGTTGAAAATCCCAAAAAGAAAGCTAACTTCCTAACCTGTGCTGACCTGGAATTGAACCTTCACAGACAGAGTTGCTGCACTACTTCTTCACATAGTAGGAAACAAGTCAAGGTTATGGTTCCTCTTCCTTGATAGCACATAAGCTTTTTACAATGCAGGATGTTGAGTTAAAAGCAAAGAGGATGTATTGCTGACTGTTTTACTACTTGACCATTGCATTCTCTGCTCAGAAAAAAAACCTTGCTACAAGCCTGTTTGGAATTAATCTGTGCTTTGCCAGCACTCGTCATCTATCAAGGGCAGCAGCTAAATTTGTGTCTTTCTGTAACTGAAGCACTCTGCATAAAGTCTTGCTGTGTTGTGAGACTGGTTTTTGAGGTAGCATTCAAAGGACACTTCAATGACCAGTGGCATCACACAGTGCAAATCTCTGCTGTGGGCCTTTTTTTTTGAGAACCTGTAATGAAAAATGAAGTGCTGATATTTTTCTAATCAGAATAGAGAGCTGAAATGCATTTGGTGACATCCAACTGAATATTTCATTCTTTGAAATGGTCTGTGCATGAACTTTGTCCATTCTGTGGACACAGCAGTTCAGCTTCATTAGTACCTTCCAGTACATAACTGGTACCCATAGGGAAGTTGGAGAGAGATTTTTGATCAGGAAGTGCAGTGAAAGGTCAAGGAGTAATGGCTTTAAATTTAAAGGAGATAGATTTAGATTAAATATTCAGATGAAATTATTCGCTGTGAGGGTGGTAACAGAGGAACAGGAACAGGTTGCCCATAGAAGCTGTAGATGTA